GCCTTGGGAGAGGAGGATGGGTAAGGCCAGAGTATGAGACTACAAGAGAGCTGGAGCCTTGGCATGTATAGTTGCAAGTCAGTTATTTCTGTGGGCCTCTTTTTTTCCCCATCTGTAAAATGGAAGACTGGCGTCTTTATACTTATTGAGTTGGTTGTCTGGCACCTGCAGTTTGAGATGTTGCTTCAAGATCTGAGTATCTGCAATTCTGTGAAGCAAGATGTATGACCCAGTGAGAAGTCATGTGTGTAGAGGGATGTCTTAACAACGCTCTTGATGAAACAGGCCATCTCGTTGCCTGACATGGGTCGCTAGGATAGGCACCCACCAGCTTAGGGCATTGCAGCTGCTGAAAACTGGCCCCTGTGACTCGAGGCCCCCAGCCCTGGCCCTGGGAAGAGACAGGACTGCCTCACCTGTCCCTGTCCCTCTCCCTCTGCCCTGCCATTGTGCCTTCTCTGCCTGTTCCACTCACTTAGAGGATGGCTGGTGCGGGAAGGCAGGAGCTGTGGCGAGCTGTGGTGCTCCTGGGCTCTTTAAACTGCTTAGCATGCATTTCACAGCCTCTCTGGGGCCAGCTGTTCCTTTCTCTGCTCTCGGGGCCTGTTTGCTGATCCCCTCGCCACTACCCTCCTCCCCCCCCCCCCAAGTCCCTGTGCAAAATTGCTTTTGAAAAGCTCCACTTTCTGCTTAATTAAACAATGAGGAGCGTCCCTGCGCACATCTGTAAACCTCCTTCTGAGGCCAGTTTAGCCCACAAACTGCTCCATTCTTACCCCATTCACTTGTAAATGGCCCCTCTGATGTTCCCTCCACCCTCTCCTCTTCTGCTCCCCCATGCCAGCCCTTTCTTCTCCCTTTCAGCTGAGGCCTAGGTTGGCCTCCCAGAAGAGCTGTCTTGGAGCCTGGTGGACTTGGGGACGGGACCATTTAGCCAATGGAAGAGAAGATTCAGGGGATCAGTCTCTCCCCAGTCGGAAGGGCCTGAAGGGCCATCATGGAGAAGGGGGGACACATTTATTGGCATGGTCCATGTGGACCAGCCAGGCCCGGGGGTGGGGTGGCAGGAAGAAAAGAGCCCTTAGCAATCAGAGCTGCCCACAGAGGAGGTGACCTCCTGTCCCTGGATGTGTTCCAAGAAGGGTGGCTGAGGAGCTGTTTCAATAGGCCTTGGAGCTGGGCTGGACATTCATGGGGGCCCTGCCACAGTGGGCAGTCAGTGTCCCCCAGGCAAGGACAGATCCACTGGGGCGAGAGATTCTGGTGGGAGCTCTTATTGGTGCTTTCTAAGATGGGCATGCCATGGCACCCCATTGCAGAAGCCTTTAGGAAAAGGTCCTGACAGCCCAGAGGACGATGATTCCAAGCCACTGTGGGATTACAGCTCAGAGCACCCATCTGTGCAGCTCATCCTGGGTGACACTGGGCTGTGCCTGCTGCTAGCATCGTGCCTCACTTAACCCTTTGAAGTCTGGGTTATTATCCCCATTCATCAGAGGATGACACTGAGACTTAGAGAGGTAAAGTGACTTTCTGACCAAGGCCATCTAGCACACAGCCCAGGGCCTCCGGCTCCAGAATCTGAACTCTGAACCACCGCAGAAAAGCACTCTCGTCACCTGCTCTGCCCTAGATGGCTCCCCAAGGCTCCCTGCACTGGAACCCTAGTATTAAGGTGCCCATCTCTGTCCTCTGGTTCTGCATGCCCTCTGGTTCTGGTGCTGTAGCACCCACGACCTCAATGTGATTCCTGACAGCTTGTGTGTCTGGTACCCCCTCACCACTCTCCCATTCCCCTGTTCTCTTTCTGGCTTCTGATGGGAAGGTCCTGGATTCCACAGAAGACCCCAGCAAGTCCCAGCATTGTCTGATTAGTGGTTGTCTGGACCCCACCCCACAAAGCTGGGGTGCCCGACCACAGGGCAGAGTGTGTGCAAACCTAGGACATCAGAGGGTGCAAAGGATATGGGCTCTTCTCCTGAATCCTGGAGCAATGCCAGGCACAGGGCTGAGAACTTTATATGGATCATTTTTGTCTGATCCTACAGCCTTATAAAGCCGACTCAGGAAAGCTGAGGCTCAGAGGATTTCTTACCAGAGGTCACAGCCAGGAAGTGATGGGGCCCAAGTCAGAACCAGGGCTGTCTGACTCCAGAGTCCATGCTTGTCACCTGTTCCTCCCCACTTCCTCCCTCCACAGCTGTCCATGTGTTAAGCACACATCTCAGAGTTCTGTTTGCAATGGCAGTGGTGATGCTATACATTTGAGCCAAATTGTGACTCAAGTGTCAAGGTAGGGGGCATAGGAGCACAGGACTGAGCAGCGGAGCTTGGAGCAGGCTCTTTTTCAAGGCCTGTGGGCCCTGCCTGCTCTGGGCCCATTTCATGCTGTGCTTCTTGCCTTCTCTGTTCTGCCACCTTGAACCTGCCAATTCCATCCTGCCCCAGGCTTTCCCATATACTCTTCTGCCCAGAACGTTTCTCATCCCACCCATCCCTTCAGACCTGAGCTTCAGTGTTTTAACACCCTCAGCAAGGCCTCTCCTGATTCCAGATGAAGGAGACAGCACTGATCACAATTGATTAAGCACTGTGTCTCCCTGCTGGTCCCTAGCTCCAAGAGGGTAGACTCTGAGTTTAGCTTCTCACCACCATCTCCCTAGCACCTGACCTATAGTAGCTGCTCAATAAATGTTTGTCTCTAAATGGTTGCCTGGGATCCCAGGAGAGAGACAACCCTCAGAAGGAGTGGGAAGGTGGAAGTGAGATTCCCCAGCCCCCATCTATCCCAGAGGCAGCCCCAAGCCACCAGCCACTGGCTTTGCTTAACCCTTCCTCCTCCCCTGGGCGCCTTTGGAAGCCGACCATCTGGCTTGGAGGCTATTTGCATTTTGTCTGGGCCTCAACAAGCCTAGCAAGATGTCCCTGGGGGTGTGTTTGAGGCCAGGCCTAGTGGCCCTTGCATCCTGCAAGGGGAGCCTGAGTTCTACCTCTCCCCACCCCCAAATCCGGGCATGGGGGAACAATACGGGTGGTGATGCAGTAGCCTCACCATGGTAACAGGCTATCAAAAATGTGGGCAGGCCTGGGTGGGGGCGGGCAGGGGAGGGAGGGAGTGACCTCAGCAAATAGGAGCATCATGATAAATGAGGCAGCACTGGGCAGCAGGCTCATCCCGCAGCCCATCCCCCTGGGACTCCATGATGGTACCATCACTTGGATGACCCCAACATGACCACAAGCCCTCTCCCTGCCCCCAAGCCTATCCAGCATGGAGCAGAAGTGCCTCCCTTGTGGAGACGCCGGGGCTGCTCCCAGATTGAGCCCTGGTCCCATGCAGGCCAGCCAGTGCCGTGAAGATGCAGCTGATGGTCCTCAGGCCAGGCACTGCCCAGCCCTCTCACTGAATCCACACACACAGACCCACCCCCGCCCGCCAGACTGGCTGATGGATGTGTCAGACCCGGCGGCTCTATCGAGCGACCATAAGATGTATGGGCTGGCGGCCCACCAGACAAGATGGAGGCTGAGGGGATTCAGAGCCAAGGGGAAGCCTCGGAACCCTCAGGAAGGAACCCAGCCAGGAGTCCACATGGGCGACAGCAAATTGGAGGCCGCACTTGCCCATGCCCTGCCCGCTCCAGGGCCTGGGAAGACTCTGGTCTGCTTTGTTAAAAGGAGGAATTCCGACAGAAAGGCAGTAGTCTCAGTGCCTGGACACTGCCCATGTCCTGTGCTTGCTGGCGTTGGATCCAGGCAAGTTGCACAGAGCAGAGTGGCCCAGTCCATCCAAGCTGCAGGCCTGGCAGAGCAAAAGGGCACACAGGCCAGGGAGCGTGCCTTAGCATCCTGCCTGAGGTAGGCTGTGTGTGCACTGCAAGCCCCGGTCAGGGCAGAACTAAGCCTCCCAGTGTCCAGGCAGGAAAACCAAGGCACTGTCTGGGCCTTCTCCAGCTTGACCCTGAGCTTTGTCTCTGGCTCAGATTCAGGAGCAGACCCCTCTGAGACACAGACTCCGGATAGTGGGGGGTTAACCCCAAGGCCCCCCCCCCCCGCTAGTTTCCCAGAGACTAGTTGTCTCCCTAGGACTTTGATCCTCAAGTCATGTCAGAGAGAGAAGAGCTCGGGCAGTCTCAGGAGAGTGGTCTATTTGAGGAAGTTTGTTGAGAGTCATAGGTTTCCAAGAGTTTATAGAGCCAGACTCTAGTTTGCCGTGGCCTGGTACTGCTGCCCCTAGGAAAGAAGAGGTGACCTTGGGGACAGGTTCCTCTGAGCCTCCACATAATGTAGACTGTTGGCTCTCCCAGAACCACAAGGAGACAGGTCATAATGCTAACTAAGCAAGAGCGGCCCTTTTGGCCCTTTCGACCCTGAACCTCCTGCCTCTTCAGGGTGGCTGCCCTGGCTTGAAGGGCTCTGGAAGGGGGGTGGGATGGCGGGGGCGGTGAAGCAGTCATTTGTCAGCGACCCTGGCTGGTGAAGGATCCTTTCCCTCTGCCAGAGGAAATTAACTGATGTTATCGGCTCTGCAATTGTTTTTCTCCCTTCACAAAGGGAAATATATGCAGACCCCATCAAGAGCAAAGAGTCCTTCCCATCTGGGACTGGCTGGAGAGATAAAGGTGGAGGGGGCTCTTCAGGGCCTTCTCAGAAGTCCAGCTGTGGCAGTTTCAAACTGGCTTCCAGGAGTGTAGCTGGGGGTCTGTCCCCCAACCCTTTAGACGTGACAGTTCCTCCTGTCTGCCTTGAGTCGCCCTACTATAGGTTAATGCCTATTGCCTGTTGTTCGGGACTACAGCAGTGCCAGGTGCTGCTTTCTCTGAAGATCTCTCTTATGTGTCATGGGCCTCTCCCAATCCATTTCCTCAACCTGGGAATCCACAAGCTCATGGACCCTCGTAGCCTGGGCCCTCTGAACTCTGCGTGTATTGCCTTCTGGGTCAGGCAAGTCTCTGAGGACTTGGGTTTGACTATAGTTTCTTCTGTGCTTTCTCCTCCAGGGGACATCCGGAACCTCCTGGTCTGGATCAAGAATAATTTGCTGCAAGAGCGGACCGAGTTGTTCATCCAGGGAGACACCGTGTAAGTCCCTCCCCTCCCTTCCTGGAAGAGGGTGGAGGGAGGGACGGATGTTTGAGCTCCTCCTCTTGGGGGTTCAGCCTAGCCTTCTCTGAGCCCTGTTCTCCCCCTCCCCCCAACTTCTCTTAGGAAAGAGCTTCAGTCCAGCTCTGTCTGAGGTCTCTTTTCAGCTTTCTTGCTACCAAAACTGGACTACTAGAGATTTTTTAAAATCCCAGATGAAAGGAATCTGGTGAATTTCTCAGAAAACTTGGATTCCACCTTCTGATGCCATAAACTTGCTGTGGAACCTTAGGCGAGTTACTCTTTCCATACAGAAAGTGTTGAGAAAAAGATGCTACCAAAGGCCGTTTTCATCCCTCAACTCTCTTGGACAGTGCTCTCCTGTACAACTTTCTACAGTGATAGAAATGTTCTTCATCTGTGCTGTCCAACATGGTAGCCACTAGTCATGTGGGACTGTTGCGCCCTTGAAATATGGCTCCTAGCCGGGCTCGGTGCCTCAACCTGTAGTCCCGTGCCTTTGAGAGGCTGAGGTGAGTGGATTGCTTGAACCCGTGGGTCGAGACCTGCCTGGGCAACTTGGCGAGACCTCATCTCTACAATAAATAAAAAAAAATTAGCCGGGCGTGGTAGCGCACGCCTGTAGTTCCAGCTACTTGGAAGGCTGAGGTGGAAGGATCACCAGAGCCCAGCAGGTCGAGGCTGCGGTGGCCAGGAGCGGCCACTGCACTCTAGTGTGGGTGACAGAGTGAGACTCCAACTCAAAAAAAAAAAAGAAATGTGGCTCCTGAAATGTTCCTCAGTTCAGCTGAGGAACTAAATATTCTATTTCACTTCATTGTAATTTAAATCACCTCACATGGCTAGTAGATGCAGTCTGGGACAGCACAGGCCTAGGATTCCAGAGGTCATTGACTTCGTGTATACACACGCGCGCAGTGGGGACAACCTATAGAAGCCTCCGAGCCTGGCCCAGCCTCCTAGCAAAGCACGAAGTTCCATGTGTCAAGATGTCATTTTACTTGTTTTTGTTTGTTTGTTTTGTTTTGTTTTTTGAGTCAGGGTCTCATTCTGTTGCTCAGGCTAGAGTGCAGCAGCATAATCACAACTTGCTGCAGCCTCAGCTTCCTGGGCTCAAGCAATCTTTCTACCTCAGCCTCCTAAGTAGCTGGGACTATAAGCACACGGCACCATCCCCAGTTAATTTTTAATTTTTTTTATAAAGATGGAGGTCTTGCTATATTGTGTAGTCTGGGCTCAAACTCCCGGGCTCAAGCAATCTTCCCATCTCAGCTTTCCAAAGGGGCTGGGATTATAGGCATGAGTCACTGTTCTCAGCCCACTTTACTTTTTTTGGGGGGGCGGGGTTTGGGGTCTCACTCTATCATGCAGGCTGGAATGCAGTGGCACAATCAAGCTCACCACAGCCTCTTCTTCCTGGGCTCGGGATTCTCCTGCTTCAGCCTCCCAGTAGCTGGGATTACAGGCTCATGCTACTACTTCTAGCTAAGTGTGTGTGTGTGTGTGTGTGTGTGTGTGTGTGTGTGTGTGTGTGTGTG